GAAAGAGGACAGCGAGTATTCCGGTCAGGAAGCACCCAGAGTAGTAGGAGGGCAAGAGAATAGCAGTGGCTGCCATTCACCCATCAAGTGGTCAAGTGCTGAGGAACTGCCATTCTCCGGGAAGTTTGGATAAGTACAGAAGTATGCAAACTTCAGAGTCCCTGCTCTCCAGCAGCTCATTATGTAAGGAGTGAGGAGACAAAGGGTAGGAGCTCTCAGGGGCTGGTGAGAGGAGAGGGGAGGGGAATGAGCTTAATGAAGGGGCAGAGGCAGTGTGGGCAGGGCGTGAGACCTGAGAGGGCAGAGCGCTCCTGCACTGCAACTTTATGTACCTCCAGCTCCTACCTGCCTCTCAACACCAAACTCTTGTTGCGCACTTGGCATTCGTTCCCCGGCTCTAGCAGCATTTTCTCAGTCCTTATGCACATCTCCTTCTACACATTGTTAAGGTTAAACACTCCCTACTCCTTTGTCTCTGTGTCTTGAGCATGTTTTACGATTATTTATGTTCATATCTTCCTTGTTAGGCAAAGAGCTCTTTGTGAGCATGGGATGCTCAGTACTTACGATGTTATTGTTTTTTCTCACCTAGTGTCCTACCTGATCCAGTCTACCCATCACTTCTCCCTCTGGTACTTTTGTCTTTGCCTCTCTCCTGTGTATAGAGGAAGGCAGCGTTAGGTCTTTCAGTAGCTTCAAAGAAAAACCACTACAAGACAAAGAAACTATGTATATGCTCATCTTGACTGACCCTTTTAATGCAGTATGACAGCCCAATCCCTATTGTTTTATTGCTATCTTACTCAAGAGCCTCTCCCGGGAAAGGCAAAGAAAGCAAGCCGTAAATTGGCAGGAAAGCCCTCCACATCACGCATGTCATTTGGTTTAGTCTTTGCAAATATCCTGAAGAGTAGGTATTAGCATCCCTAATTTTACAAGCAAGGAGAGTGGTTAGAAAGGTTAAGTTCTAGACTTTGCCAAGAACATAGACAGTGAGCTGCAGACCTGTCAGGGGTAGGTTCAGGAAGCTGATTTAGCATAATCTGTAGTTTGCTTCCACCCCCAGATTCCAGATGCTATGTTACCATTGTCAGGTCAAGTTTTGATATTGGAAATGTCCAGGTCTACCTCTGCAGTTCATCTTAGGGTAGGATTTCAGATGGCCTCTTATTCTAACATGGATATTAATTGTCTGTTAGAGGAAAGCGCCTAACACATATGGGAAATCTTTTCACAGAAAGTACCTTTCATGGGAAGATCATGTTGTTATTTGGGAAGATGGTTAGAATAGTTGTTTTGGGGTTTTTGCTTGTTTGTTTTTGGTTACACACAAGGTAGGTCATCCCTGAGCTGTTTTCATGAATGTTTTGTTTTAAAGCTACAGCAGTGGCCTGGAATTAATTCTGGTACCAAAAAAGCACTGAAAATGAACGTGGCATATGTCATATTAGCCAAGGTGTGGCCCGAGTGGCAACAATTCTTAATGACAATGAGAGACTTGGATCAGAAATCCGTGCTGACTTTTCACTGAGTAGGG